GTATGGCCTTTATAAAATAGTTCTCCTCGTAATGTCTGCAATTTTCCTTAATACTAATATTCTGAAAAAAATAATTATTATAAATAAACCCTTAAGATTGCATGTATGTATGTGTTTTAAAGAAAAGGGAATATGTCACCGAACTCATTAAAAATCAGACGGGTATAATTAGGTCACACACCTAAGCAGTGAACACCGCGGGGTCATGTTTTAAATACCAGACTATGGCGTTCGGTAGTTCAGAACACTAGTGTCCTGAGTGGTTGTAATTTTCTTTAGGAAGTCATTTGAGTAGTTTTTCACTTCACACCATTGTCTTAATGGATAACCAGACAGAGACAATTCGAAGGTTCGTAATGAGCAGTTATCACATATACAATATAGAGCGATAAAACTTTTGACGATCCATTTTATCCGCCTTTAAATAATGAGTGTTTAGAGTTTGTAAAGAAGCATAACATACATGCACTTTCACTGAAGAAATGTGGCATTCAAACTATCCAACAAAGGAACTGTTTCGTATAACTGACTCATAACTAACCTTTTTCAAACGCAGTGATTGGTCCGTTAGGCCTCGGCTTAACTGGGCAAATGGGATTATTCTTCCACGCTCATTACATATATACAGATGCATCTTCTTCACAAAGTCTTGGGAAGGTTGGTTGAATCTGCCCAATCGCCTGTTTGATTGAATTATCATCGCTAATACCATGCCACGTGGAAAGAGTTTGGGCGTATTCATCATGGTTGCATACATGTGAGACATCTCTGGTTCTCACGAAATTTAATGGCGAAACAATCTGTTCTCCAATTTAATATATCACGTATGGAACGTTACCAGAATATCAAACACTATATAATGTTCTGAGGCTGGAGAAACCATCTTTGAGCCCTGTTATTAACCTTACTTAACATCTGTGGCATGAATTGAAGTGTGCAATGCAAAGGAGAACCAAACCCCTAATAATCAGGACCAACCAAGCTCTTTAGGAAGAATGGGACAATATCTTACAAAAAAAGAATTGTTACCTTTGTTGAAGGCAGGCCGCGTCATCTACAGGAAGTAATTACAGTACGCGGTAAACACAAACGCTATTAGACAAGGAGCCTTTAAAGAGCACACCATAATGCTAAATATGTATAAATTTGGTGACATCTGGTGGTGTCATTTCAATTTAATGGACATTTCTTTACCTCCGTGGATACGACGGTGGAACATCAGATTTGAGGGGGTACATTAAATAAATGTAAATAAATGGAATTAAATATAGATATCTTAACAGATAGTTTGTATTCTCTGTACCACTATCATGTTAGTTATATGCATATATATATATATATGGTACCTGGAATGAAAATCATCATTCATAGCAATTAACTCCTGTGCTGTTATCATTTATAAATAAAAGCACATGAAACTGGGGGTGGGACAACCAATGTTTGACCAATGTTGTAAGCTTGAGGAAATATTATATGGTTGCAGGTCGTGTGTGTACGTGTGTGTCGTGTGTGTGTGTGTGTGTGTGTGTGTGCAAAAGAGAGATGGAGGGGGAGGAGGAAGAGATTTAAAAAATGGGCTCATCAAAAAACAACATGACTTGTAGTAAACTATTACATATCAATATTATTTTAAATGATATTAACGATAAGAATAACAAATTCCAAATGCGTCCACAAGAATCATCCTAAGTTAGATGACATCCGATGTTTTAATTTTCACTTTGTTTTACACCGAGATTACGTTTGACTTCACCTGTGAAGTTACAGATCACGATGAGAGCCAAAGCAGTTCGCACCTTGCGGTTTTAGTTTTTTTTTTTTTTTTTTTCATTTCAAATAAGATACTGTATGACTTTATGAACAGTCTGGATTAGCAAGAAAATACACAATTGGGTAAAGCAATCGTGACGTAACTTTTGAAAAAAAATTAAACTTTTCTTTTAGTTTTTAGAAGTTTTTGCAATTTCAAATGTCGAATGTTGAGCTGCCCCGGGTACTATACGACCATTTGAACAGTCTTGACAAGCAAGGCCCCAGAGAGGGGGGGGGGGATAGAGCAAAACATGCATAATTGGGTAAAGTGATAGCAGCGACGTGACTTTAACAAACATTTCATGCTAATTAAAATCCGTCGGAGAAGATTGCACTTTTTGATGAGAGGCCAGTATGACATGCATGGCGCCATGCCGTTATAGCTATTGACTCAATTCAAATTTGATCTGTTGCGTAGTTGGTAAACGATAGAGATCAATGACAATCCCGCATAAACATCATTTTAAGGGCTTTTAAGTGAAAAGATGCAGACTTAATAATAATGGCCAGAAATAAGTTTTTTTGGCAAATCGATCACTTATTTATAAATTTACATTTTTAATGCAAAAGGTAATTTGCCTGGACCCACGAAAGCCTGCATTCTTTTACAGGCCTACCCTACTGCCAGATTCGGCACCGATTATCCTGAAGTCACCGGTAGATCGGATCACAATACCCGTTTCGAGGTGTGCGTCAGTTCGCGCTTCGAAGTATCAGACGCAACACCGCTCTTGTCTAGTACGCGATGTGATAGTGATGATTCTCATCGGGTTTGGAAAGTCGTGCATCTCATCTCAAAATTTGCTCCGGGTTATAATACTGTGAAATGCGTACTGAAGCACACCTTGAAAACGGTTAGTGTGGTCCGATCTACCGATGAATTTGGGATCATTCGGTGCCGAGTCTGGTAGTTGGGTTAGCCTGTTTTACGAGCATTCTCGAATCCGGTGCCAGCTGATTTCTGTGGAAACTGACATGCGTCATCCGGGATTTGTATTCGGGACTTTCATTTACCATGCTTGCTAATGGCTATGAACTTGTTTGCAACCGTGCACGGTACCGACTGCACCCTGACTGAACCGCCCACCTTTCGTCGTACGTGTGTCCTCAAGCAGTCACAAGCAAATTTTATAAATTGTTTCAAGCAACAAAAAAAAAAAAAAGAAATTAGTTTGAGCATTCTAGAATTCGAACCTGGGTTTCAGTGTCTGAAGCCCTCTATCGAAGCATCTTGACTCCGTGGTAACTTCGCTGACTTAGACACAGTTATACCTTTAAACCCTGCTTCGAATTCTAGAATGCACGTTGTATTTTTTGTTAGAAACAATTTCTAAAAATTGCCTGTGACTACTACATGTACAAGAGGACACACTTTGGTACGGAGGGTTTGCGGTCCAGTCGTGGATCCGAGAAAATTACCTTTTGCATATTAAACTGTTTACAGGTGAAAATATACTTTTTTAAATTATCCAAAGTATATGTACACACGAAAAGAAATGCATTTTTAAATGTGGGAATTCATGAACGGCGCACGTGCTTGTCCAATGACTCACTCTACTGATGAGCTACAATGTAGCTGCCAGTTGAAATTTTAAAATTGATGTTCTTTCTTCTTTTTTCCCACCTGTGCGTTGTTTAATGGAAGATGTAATGAGCCTTGACCAAAATACAAGTTACCCATGTGACATAATGATTTGTTACATTGCCACTGGAAAGTAACCTTACTTACTCTTCGGGTCCCTGCGGGATGTTCTTTCTTCTTTTTTTCCCCGCTTCTGCGATTTTTCATGGAAGATGTAATGAGCCTTCACCAAAATACAAGTTACCCATGTGACATAATGCTTTGTTACATGTAACCCCCGATGCTTCACTGCCAAAAACTCTGTACTTTATGAAGCTGTTCACCCGATAACGACTGGTGTGGTTTTCTTTATGCTGCGTACATTGTAAACACGCACAGTCTTATTAAGGTGTCTCATTTCAGCTGGCTTCGTAAATTTTGGATTATCATTCGGGACATAGCCCAGAACCCTTTTATCATAAAAAGTCTCATTTAGCATGTTGTTTATCAATCTTGTCAGTGCATAAAGACATACTAAGTAAAGGCCCAATATGGACTTTAATTAAAATAGGGGCTGTTCTAACTCTGGAATTAAAAACTGCAAAGACTTGGATACTTTTAAAAGATTGTTTTTAAAAAACCAAAATTAAATATTATGTATACAATTATTAAGTCATGAAGCTTTGAGATTCGTACTAACATAATACCTTCTGTTTTATTCTTACTACTATTGTTATTCTAACTCATTTCATCAATATCTTATTCGAACCCCCCAGAGGGCCATGTGTAAGATAAGTGTCTGCACTTCATACGTTTAACCCTCTTTAAATAAAGTTTATTATTATTATTATTATTATTATTATTATTATTATTATAGAGAAAAGTGTTAATAAAGTAATTGGCCTAAAAAGATAAGTTAATTGTTAAAATCTGAGCTCGTGGTCTTTCAAGAAAACTCGCCCCTTCAAGATACATCAATTGGCTGACTGTAAATGACAGCCGGTGGTAAAATTCTAAAATGGGAGTTATTAATTATGTTTCTTTATTTCCGTCTCATTTTCATGTTATGACAGCAGGATATATAAGAATTAAGCCCCCGGACAAACCCGCCGCTTCACGTCATCCCTGTCTCAAACCCTACTGCATCACCCCTTCACAATTGTTCACCAGAATAACAAATGGTGTCTTTACATTACTTATCAGTAAGCAAAATCATATAAAGGCGTATAATTACTGTGCCCTGCAATATGTCCACGGTTGATCAAGGAGGAAATGCAAACCACACCAGTACCTGACAATAAATGGCAACTGATTTTTTTATAAATAAATGAGTGTAATTTCATCACCAACTCCCATTGTGCAAGTGTCTACTAGTAAATCAAAATATGATGAATCCCTCGTTATCATTTTGTGCTTCGCCACAATATAATTGTTTTTTTTTTTTCTTTTTTTAATTTTTTGCTCTTCTCTGGATCACTCTGTAACTATACTAGGAAAGCACCTGTGTCACAATACTATATTTGCGTGTATATGATATTATTACTGATTAGCATTTTGCCTCAATTTTACAGGCGCGCTGTTAACCATGTTATGCCATCCTTATTTCACTAACCAAATACTAGTTAGTGAATTATACTGGGGTATGTTGCATTCAATCAACAAGAGGACCGTGGAATTCATTATAAATATTGTTTTCATCTTCGGTAAGCCAAAATTCCTCTTGAGCCTGCTGGAACTCTTCCTGGGAGATGAGGCCATCTTTATTTGTGTCCATGATGTCAAACATAGGTTTTGAGTACTCTGTGGGAATACCAATCCCGTAGAAATAAGCGGCGTGCTCTCTGGGTGAAATATATCCGTCGGCATCGGCGTCTATGGAAATGAATTCAACGGCAAGGTAATCAGCTAAGTTTTCGCGAATTTTGCTGTCATTAAACGTGAGCAAGTGATTCTGAACGAATTCATTCTCTGATGTTCTGATATTGTCATCTGAACCTCGACTTACGAATTTTCTCCAAATATCGAGTCGAAGATTCATATGATTCTCAGCTTGTTCTTCTGGAAATATAATATTGCGTGCATCTATAGTATGCATAATTAGTACATAAGCGACAGGAAAAGGCATTAACTATGGAACAACCTATCTTTAACAACTCTACTGAGCAGAATTTCGTGTGATATATGGTTTCACGTCGCGCGTACGTGTGCGGGCCAATGTACGTGTGCGTGTGCGGGCCAAAGAACATCCCGATATGTAATAAATCATCTTTTCCACAAACAAACATTTAGAATAATATATCGACTAGAAAAACAAATTCCAGACGCATGCAGAAAAACAGCACTTAACAAAACTTATAAAGTTCAACTCGAAATAAGGTCCTACGTCAACAGTTCAATTATGAAAGTCGTTGATCTTAAGCTGCTTTTTAATAATCGATGCCTACCATTCAGATCCAAGTACTGGGCAGCACGCTTGGCAGTGAGCTCCATGGACTCTTTGGTGATGTATCCCTGACCCGTGGTATCTACGGCCTTGAACATCGTGCGAATCTTTCTTTTCCAGTGATCTGAACCAGTCAACAATGGATAGTCCGTTGGCATCTAAAATAAATTATTTTCAACATTTCTGTTATTTTTACTGATAAATTAAATCAATCCATTGCACGAAATATAAAGAGATTAAATGAATTGTACACTCTATTTGATATTCCTCTGTTTTGACTTAATTAATACGCATGTTAAGTACACAAGTGACCCCTTTAAAGAAAAGTACAGGGGGTACAATAATAATTTTCTTTGTTATTTTCTACATGACAATATAAAGAATTATATTTATAGACCTCTAACACTACAATGTATCTACATGTATATGTTTTTAAGACTAGGGGACATGTCACTAAACTTATTAAAAACCATACATGTTCAATTAGGTTCTGTAAAGTACGCCAAAGCAATAACCAACGCAGAGATGGCATTGTTAAAAAGGGATAAAATTTAAAAAATAAAAATAAAAATAAACTAGCACTTCAGAACAAAAGCTCAGTATAAGTGAAAGTTATCATACCCCTCCTTTAATATACAGATAACAGTGCCCTTAGCAAATTGAAACGTTTACTTCAAATTTGCTGCAAATACATCATGTTGCGCATCGTCTGCAAATTTGCAAGAGCAACAAAAGTTTAAGGCAAGTTTGCAAGAAGTATCTACATCCATTTATACTTCAAACAATGGCCCAGTAACGGTTGCAATAAGCCTAACATTTGGCAGAGTTGTGTCAGGTTTCTCATTTCACTAACCTTGTATTTCACTAAGTGATACAGGAAACTATCCTGTTCAGACAGTTAAATTCTAAACGTGTCCTTAATTTGAATGATTGTCATTGTTTCCTTACCTAACAGTGGTTTTGTTGGCATTTAAAGTTTGGTTATTAGCCTTAAATTTAAGTTAAATCTTAAAAACTACATGCATGTTTACTTGTAGAGCAGGATAGTCAAATTCCCCATCAAATGGCTGTGATAACTGATTTAACTAACCTTTTTCAAACGCAACGGCTGCTTTGACAGCTCTCGGCTTAACTGGGCAAAGGGAATTATTCTTCCACGTCCACTACAAATAGACAGATTCGTCTCCTTCCATAGTTTTTGAGGAGGTTGGTTGAATTTGCCCACATGTCGATTAGATTGCGTTTTCGTCGCTAATGCTATGCCACGTCGAAAGAGTTTTGTCGTATTTAACATTGTCGCACAAGACATCTTTGACTCTTTCGAAGTGAAGAGCTGTAACAGTGTTCTTCAAGTCAATGTCTCAGGTATGGAACGTGAAAGACATAGCAAACACCTTGCTTTCTAGTCGGATGTGATATTTTAAAGAACAGAAATATTCATCTTTTGTGTTTGTTTAACGATTGCATAAATTGGAGTCTCACTAAGGGCGCATTCCCATAGATTTAGATCGATCTATCCACGTAGGGAGTCTCACTAGATTACTGTCAGCTTAGCCGGCTTAAGCGTCTGTCCCGCCTACTAAAAGCTGTATGGGGGTAATTTACCATGGTGCGCGCTCGGCTGACAGCTATTTAGCTTGAACCCCCAGGGAGTTAGGTCGATCTAAGTCTAAATCTCTGGACCGATCTAAATCTCTGGAAATGCACTCTAAATTGCTATCAAACTAACCGGCTTAAACGTCTATCACGACTAGTAAAACTGTTAGTAGGTAATTATCTTTACCCCTAGCTGATCTGGTAGGCGTGACAGACATTTAAGCCTCTTGAGCTGATAGCATTTTACCATGATCGATCTAAGAGTGCATTTCCAAAGATGTAGATCGATCTTACTAGATCTTACAGCTTTTAGTAGGCGGGACAGACATTTAAGCCGGCTAAGCTGACAGTAATCTAGTGAGACTCCCCACGGGGATAGATCGATCTAAAATCTCTGGGAATGCGCCCTAAGTCCCATTACTGATTCGTTTAATTAACCGTGGTCTTTTGTGAAAGGACGAGACGCCCTGTCCCATATGTAAAACCACCTGAACTCTCTTAGTTACAAATGTTTCTATTTTATAATTTTTACATAAATTGACAATGAAAATGTTGCTATAAAGCATTATTTAATGAACATGCAGATTACCAGTTTAGTGTTCTGCTGGGAATTGCGTTATTATTCAGTGTGAGGTCTAAAACAGCATCTAATTACCAGTAGCTGAGAATAGTGTTTAAACGATAATATAAACTGCGCGGCACCAGGAAATCGCTAAAATATCCACCGATGAGCTGACAATGCTAAATAAAAAAGAAGTTTCAGAATGGATACTTTTTTAATTTCATATTCCGACTCTCTCTGCATTATAGTACGTACGGCAGGTACAGCAGCATCTGACAAAAGCGCATTGCCAGCCCGCTCATTTCAAATGGACCCTTTCAAACTNTTAATTGTGACAGTGCCAAAATACGTAATTTTTTACGCCTGAAAAGACTATTTTATATATAATTCCCAAAGAACATAGTGCAGACGTTTTAATTTGTGGGGTTGCAAAGAGGCCGAAAAGAAATCTAGCCAACGACCGGACGAAGCACGTCGATGTAAACTAAACTAGAGGACAAGCTAAATCGGCCGAAACGGTGGACGACAGATAAGCTGCGGCGTGCTACCCAACCCTAACTCCCTCATTTTGAGGGAGGGGGAGGTACGCTCTTTTCCTTATGATAAACGGGCCATACAGCGAGGAGTAGAGCTCTCCATTCTGTCATCCCTAGTTAGAGAAATTTAGAATTAGAAATTTCAAGTGTGCCCGCCGGTCTATTATGAATTATGTCTACCAAAAAACAGTAACTGAGCTCCTGAAATAAAGGGTATAATGGAGATAATAAATCACTGGTCAGCGTGAATTGCTGGACCGAACAAGTTACAAAAATTGAATGGGAAATTAAAAATAAAAGGAAACGGATGAGAATCTGCATGTCTTGCTAGATCTCTGAGGGGGTGGGGGGGTGAGGTCCGCATGTCTTGCTGGACCCAACAAGTAACGTCACTTGAAGTTAAACATATAAAAAGTTAAACATATAAAAATAAAAAGAAATGGGTGGGAGAGAATCTGCATGTCTTGCTAGATCTCCGGAAAAAGGGGTGGGTATGAGGGCCGCATGTCTTGCTGGCCTTCGGCATGAAAGCGAGATTGAATGTAAAATGATAAATGATAACTAATATAGCCTATGGACAGTGTCACTAAATGAAACTTGTGAAAGTCAGATTTGATAAATGTCACTAAACGTGCGCGGGTGAATCCTCCGTGCAAGTATATCAATGCGCTAAATAGTCCTATTCAAATTGTCCAGTTGCTTGGCTTGACCATAGTGTTGGAGTGCGGATGTATTTCTTGAAAGAGTCCGAGTTCCAACGACCGAGCCGTCTTATCTGAGCGTCCGACAGGTTATTCTGCACCGCCAGGGAAGCGGCTCCTATTCTGAAACTGTGTCCTTTAAAGCGCGTAGGGTCCAAGTGACAGAATCGAAGATCCCTCGCCAGCTGTTTGTTGAAGACGTCCCGATGAATGGGTGTGAAGTTCGGGTGACAGAAAAGTGGGCCTGGTGTGTCCCCCCTCAGCTTGATGTAGTGAGCTAAGGCACTTACCCCGCACAAGGGATTGCTTTGAGGGCCAATAACAATGGAAAAAGGAGAGCCTTTAGTGTTATGCTTGTAGTTTGAAATTACTAATTCGACTGACTGCTTCCCATCATGATTCAAAAAGAACTTTACGTTTTCCCGGGAGAGGGAGGGGTTGGGGGCCCCCGATCCCCTAGCTGTCATCTCGCCTATACGTAAAAACCCGTGAAAGGCTGTGAGGTACATTGCCCTGAAGAGTGACATGGTGTAGGAATTGGAAAGGGTGAGTTCCAAAGCTCTAACAAGTTTTAGGAGTACCCCCACCGTGATGGGCAGTCTGGAATCGGCGGATGGGTTTAATTTGTGTACACCTATGAGTTGTTTCTTGACAATGAAGGCATTGGTGGGGTCAAAGTGGCCGGCCAGTTTGTGAAAATAGCTCAATTTTGAGATTTCTGACACAATTGTGTTGGGGGAGAGATTCTTATCTCGGAGGTGGGAAATATATAGAAGTATGTCGGCAATCGTGGCCGGGAAACGGGGGGAGGGGAGACCTATCGTGGCCGTCTGAAATGAAGAGAAGTTATGGAAAGCTTTATCATATGCCTTTTTGGAAGATGGTTCCAGGGCCGCATCCACTAGTTCCCTGGTAGACTCAACAAGTTTTGAGGTAGAAGATGAGCCGGGAGCATAGTCGGACATCTGGACATGGCTGGAGCAGATCGCTTGAATGATTGTACCTGAAGACGTGATAGGGAATCTGCTAAGTTATTCTCGCAACCTGGGATGTGTTTTGACTTAAACAGGATGTTATTCTTGAGACAGGAGAGGACAAAATATCGGACCAAGTGCATGATGTGGGGGTCCTTGGATGTCTGTTTGTTTATGATGTGAACTAAAGCTTCATTGTCGGTGAAGAGCATGACACACCTATTCCTTAACTCCGAGGCCCAAAGGTCAACTGCCGCGACAATTGGGTAAAATTCTAGCAAGGTGATATTGCAGTTTTGAAAATGCTTTGGCCAAGCCCCGAAAAACCAATTGTTCCTAAATATCGCCCCATATCCGAGGGAGGCTGCAGCATCAGTGTACAATTTCAGAGCGGGGGAGGTAAGCCATTTGAAATCAAGGAGGAATGATTTCCCGTTGTAGTCGGAAAGAAAGTTGGCCCAGGTCTCTAGATCCAGTTTGGCCTGTCTAGACAGCCGGATGAAGTGGTGGGGTTTTCTGATACCTATCGTTAGATCAATGAGTCTGCGGAGGAAGGCCCTGCCCGGTAGAACTACTGAACAGGTGAAATTCAAGAGCCCTATGATCGATTGTAGCTGTTGTAATGTTACTTTTGCCCTACCCAGGAACTCGGATATGAGAGACCGGCATTTTGAGACTTTATCGTCAGGTAGCCTGGCTTCCATCAGATCAGTATCGAGCTCAATACCAGCGAAAGGAAGGACTCTGCTAGGGCCAAGCGTTTTCTCGCTTGCAATAGGTACGCCTAGATCACTACAGAGGGCCAGGAAATTTTGGAGGTCCTGCTGACACTTTTCAAACGTGGGGGCTATGAACAGAAAGTCGTCCAGAATGTGAACCATGGAGTGGGCCTTAAGTTTGTGCTCCGCAATCCATTGCAGAGAGGTACTGAACATTTCGAATATTCTACAGGACGAGGAGCATCCCATTGGTAGACGCGTGTCAAAATAATACTCATTGTTCCATGTAAACCCTAGAAGGTGATGATCGTCGGGGTGAACCATAAGAATTCTGAAAGCAGACTCCACGTCAGTCTTGGCCATCCAGGAAGATCTACCTGAGATATTGATGAGCTCTATTGCATTCTCTATAGAATGGTACTGCACGGAGGAGAATTCCCTGTCAATGCCGTCATTAACTGACTGTCCGTGAGGAAAGGAAAGGTCGTGGATGAGCCTAAACTTGCCAGGATCTTTCTTCGGGTGGAGACCAATGGGCGATATTGCTAAATTGGGGAAAGGTTTGGAAGTAAATGGACCGGCCAACCTACCTAGTTCTAATTCAGATGACAACTTTTCATTCACCACGTCGGGCCTGTCTAGAGCTGACTTGTGGTTACGAGTAGAAGACGGGGATTGAGACCCATTGTGACCTAACTTGAAGCCGATAGTGAAGCCCGAAACAAGTTGCTTTCTTAAATCAGAAGGATAACCAGAAAGATATTTATTGAGTTTGTTGGGGTCTACTGGGGTTTTTAGGACCCTGGGGGGTAGATGGTGAGTTTCTGTTGGCCCGTGAGGGGTAGGAGGGGCGGGCAGCTGCTCTATTCTCCGATCTGGGACACTGGGACGCTGGGTGGGTACCCCCTGAGCATCTGAAACATTTGTGGTCGTACGTGCAATCCCCCCTACAGTGGTTTCCGGAGTGAAATTTGTAGCAGACCCCTTGGGGAAATTTACGAAATGGCTGCCTAGATGTGAATGACCCCCTTGGGCGAAATTGCTGGACATTGTTATTTGGGCGAGAATTGAGAAGAGCCCTGTTCCAAAGATCCCAATTAGTATCCTCCCAAGGGTCACCAGACCTTTCTTTGTTAGCCCTGAAGTTGCGGTCATAAGCTAACCAGTCCCCCCTTAGCCCTGCTAAGACCCTGATGTCTTCAGCGTATTTAAGTAAATTGGGCGCCTCCTGGGGGTGTTTAAGGGTGTACACTGACATGAAAGTATGAAAGGCCGTTGTCCATTGGGACATGGAGGTGATCTGAGGCCTTCTACCCTGGGAGACTACCAGTGTGATTTTACCGTGGTTGTTTTCCATGGCCAATGGGAGGGGGTCGCCGGGTTGGGGCAATTGCGCTGACTGGTCTTGGAGGAGTAGTGACATGTCGACAAACTCGTTCCCCCAAATTCGATCTTTTAATTTGTCGTCGACTAGGGCGTGTAAGGGAATGGACTTAGTTGAATACCTATTAGTCTGGGGGGATACTATACCTGTGTCCGCTGAAGGAGGAGTAGGCGGAGGGTTTTCTGGCAGATTGCGCTGGCCTGACTGAGGTGCCACCGAGTTGGCTGCCAGTGTTGCCATGGCTTGTGACATCTCCTTCAGAATGTTGAAGATGGCCTGGTTGTCCACGGGCTGTGGGGTTGAATGTGAACTCTCAGAAGTTGAAGGTGAGGAAGTGTCCGCAGAGGAAGGTGCAGATTTACGAACAAGTTGCTTCCCCTTACTGACTCGCGGGCGTTTTTCCGATGCTGAAGAGGGGCCGGCGGAAGAAGTGCTCGCAGTAGAGGGAGTAGGGTGAGTTCTGCTTGCCCGGCGTTTGTTTGGAGTGCTCTCAGGAGCTGTTGAGCTTCTTGATCTCTTGGGAGGCACTGAAAAGTGTAATGAAGAGAGCAGCAGACAGGTGAAATTTTTTTTTTTTTTTTGTAAGTTCCCATGTAGTATTTTTATTACTCGGAGGAGACGGGGAAGGTGGCGGGTATCAAAATCGTACTGAGGCGAATTGAGCAGTGATCCGTTGATTGTTCTCTTGCGACTGTCGTGCGTGAGAGCAAAGTGAGAAAGATTACTATTGTACATTTCGTTAAACGCGACGGCGCGTACCTTGTGGAACACACCTGACCTAGTTCAACCTGATTGGGCAAAAATTAGTAACGAACCAAATACTCTGATTGGATAAGAAAGATTGGCCAATCACAGCCCATTGCCGATGCAGCACTAAATCCACGATTCTATGTGCAGCATTGAATCCGAGGCTCGTCAGTTCATGCAGCACTCAATCCGAGGTTTGTACAAGTATGGCAAAATTACAATGCGAATCCCGTCGGAACTAGGTTACAATCCGTCGCCATAAAATAACGTTTGACTCAGCCGCCAAACTTCCCTATTTTCAACATTTCTGTTATTTTTACTGATAAATTAAATCAATCCAGTGCACGAAATATAAAGAGATTAATTGAATTGTACACTCTATTTGATATTCCTCTGTTTTGACTTAATTAATACGCATGTTAAGTACACAAGTGACCCCTTTAAAGAAAAGTACAGGGGGTACAATAATAATTTTCTTTGTTATTTTCTACATGACAATATAAAGAATTATATTTATAGACCTCTAACACTACATGTATCTACATGTATATGTTTTTAAGACTAGGGGACATGTCACTAAACTCATTAAAAACCATACATGTTCAATTAGGTTCTGTAAAGTACGCCAAAGCAATAAACAACGCAGAGATGGCATTGTTAAAAAGGGATAAAATTTAAAAAATAAAAATAAAAATAAACTAGCACTTCAGAACAAAAGCTCAGTATAAGTGAAAGTTATCATACCCCTCCTTTAATATACAGATAACAGTGCCCTTAGCAAATTGAAACGTTTACTTCAAATTTGCTGCAAATACATCATGTTGCGCATCGTCTGCAAATTTGCAAGAGCAACAAAAGTTTAAGGCAAGTTTGCAAGAAGTATCTACATCCATTTATACTTCAAACAATAGCCCAGTAACGGTTGCAATAAGCCTAACATTTGGCAGAGTTGTGTCAGGTTTCTCATTTCACTAACCTTGTATTTCACTAAGTGATACAGGAAACTATCCTGTTCAGACAGTTAAATTCTAAACGTGTCCTTAATTTGAATGATTGTCATTGTTTCTTTAAGATAAAGATAAAGATAAAGTTATCATGTTGCCAAAACTTAGTGCTTTATACCTTGACGCTTTTTAAAGAAATTCTCCCTTGATAAAACGAAAAGTGTTTTCTTTCTTTACAAATCATACCACTAATATATGCTAGCCTTAAGAGATATTGCCAATGTAGGCACATTTTGAAAAATTAGCAATTTAATAGCCTAGCTATATTATGTAAAAGAGGACACCTAGACATATTATGTAAAAGAGGACACCTTAACGGTGCCCCCACGCTCCACACAGCCGATTAGTTTACAGGCCTTATTTCGGAGAACCCAAGAAAGGAGGCCAAACGGAATGCATCGCTTAATTGAACCGCTTTTAAAGTGCATATCTCCAGATGAAAAAAGAGATCCACCCCACATCTTAACTTTTCAGTATTCAGTACATTCCGTTATTTCAAAACCTTATTGCAAGGTCTTCATGGGCACTGAATATAGGTGAATTATCACCGGTGACGTTTGGAGGCGTTATGCTTCAGAAATCCAACTTAAAAGTACCTGTAGCTCATTCTACATTATCAACCCTAAGCTATAAGCATGGATATAGCTAGGTCAGACACGTGCTAGGTCAGGGAGACTAGCCCTTTGCAAGGCTGCCCGATGTCCAAAGTGCAAATGAATATTATTCTGATCCCTTGATTTCCTCATGAATTCTATATTGAAATAACTTGCAGCAGAATGATATACTCGGCTTTACATGTTTACAGACTGTGTTAGTTGAGAATGGGATGATTTGAGTGAGAATAAAACTTAGCAATTGGAAAAAAAATACACCTGCGCCCACACATGCCTTGATGCCTCTGGAAATTAAAGACTCTAAATAATCAAGCAATTGAACGGGATTACAATATGATAATTTTACGTGTTTGACGTAAAAATAGCGTCTTAACTTAAACACATGTATTTCTAACGTAGGAAATTACTGATGATTAAAATTGGCTCTCACTGTTGAACAACCGGGCCATTACCCGCGTTATATTTCTCTTATTTCATCAGTCAAATACAAGTTGAGTAAGTTATATTTGGGAATGTTGCATTCAATCTACAAGAGGACCGTGGAATTCATTATAAATATTGCTATCCTCTTCGCTAAGGCAAAATTCAATTTGAGCCTGCGTGAACTCTTCCTTGGAGATGAGGCCATCCTTATTTGTATCCATGATATCAAATATACGCCTCGAGTGCTCTGTGGGAATACCAATTCCGTAGAAATAAGCGGCGTGCTCTCTGGGCGAAATATATCCGTCGCCATCAGTATCTATGGCAATGAATTCAATGGCAAGGTAATCAGCTAAATTTTCTCGAATTTTGTTATCATTAAACGTGAGCATGTGATTCTGAACAAATTCATCCTCTGATATTTTGGCATTGACGTCATCTGAACCTCGATTAACGAATTTTCTCCAAATATCAAGGTAAAGATTCAGATGATTCTCCGCTTGTTCTTCTGGAAATATATAATGAAATATAATGAAATATAGATGCATAGTGCATCAACAGTAGGAAGACGCATAAGCAGCATATTAAACAACTCTATTGAGCAGAATTTCGTGTGATATTTCGTGTGATATGGTTTTAGGTCGTGCGTGAACTGGCGAGTGTATGTGTGTGTCATCATGTGTGTGAAAGAAAGAGACGCACCGAGAGAAAGATGGGTGAGTGGATTAAGAAATAAGCTTATCAAAGAACATCCCGATATGTGATAAATCATTTCTAATCAATACATCAATGAATCAATTCATCTTCTCTCAAACAGATGTTTAGAATAATATAAACGACTGGAAAACAAATTCCAGATGCACGGTGAAAAATCAGCACTTAAAATTAATTTTCCACAAAACTTGCAAATTTCAATTCCAAATAAGGTCCTACATCAACAGGTATATTCTCCAAGTCATTCCAAGTCATTGATCTTAAGCCGCTTTTTAAAAATTTTAGTTTAATTATCTGTTTATTTTTATTTAATCGTTGACTACCATTAAGATCCAAGTACTGGGCAGTACGCTTGGCAGTGAGTTCCAAAGACTCTTTAGTGAGGTATCCCTGACCGGTGGTATCTACAGCATTGAAAACTGTGCGAGCCTTCCTTTTCCAATGATCCGAACCAGTCAACAATGGGTAATCCTTTGGCATCTGGAATAAATTATTTTCAACATTTCGGATATTTTATTTTCTAATACAATAAAGCAATGCAGTGCACGAAATATATAGATATATGTATTGTACACTGCATTTGGTATTCCTTTGTTTGGACTTAATAAATACGCATTTAGAGTACACAAGTGGCCTTTTTAAAGAAAAATGTAATAATAATTTTGTTCGTAATTTCCTTAATGACAATATAAAGAATTATATTTGTAAACCTCTAACCTGACACTATTTATGTGACTTTAAGACTAGGGGATATATCACGGAACTCATTAAAACCATATGTGGTTAATTAGGATACACAAAGTACGCCAAAGCAATAGACAACACTGAGATGGCATTGTTAAAAAAAGCATAAAGTAACTTTAAAAAAATAAATAACATACTATGGCGTTTGGCACAGGAATAGGAACTCACTCTTAGTGAAAGTTATCATATCCCTCGTGTGATATACAGATAGCAGTGTATACTCTTAGCAAAATGAAAAGTTTACTGCAAACTTGCTGCGAGCAAAAAAGGATTGCAGATTGTTGCAAAAAGAAATCCTGTTCCACATCTTCTCCAAATTTACAAGAGCATCAAAAAGTTTGCGGCAAGTTTGCAAGAAGTCTTTATATCCAATTTTCATTATTTCAAACAATACCCCAGTAACGGTTGCAATACGCCTTACCTTTTGCAGAGTTGTGTCAGGTTTCTCATTTCACTCACCTTGAGTTTCTCTAAGTGGTACAGGAAGCTGTCTTATCCGCCTATTAAATTCTATAATAACCTTAATTTGATGATTGTCATTGTTTCCTCACTTAACAGTCCCTGGTGGTTTGGTGACATTTTAAGTGTGGTTATAACCCTTGACTTTAAGTTGAATCTTTAAAAATACATGCATGTTTACTTGTAGAGCAGGATATTCAAATTCTTCATCAAATGGCCTTGATAACTGATTTAACTAACCTTTTTTAAACGCAGTGGCTGCTTCGACTGCTCTCGGCTTAACTGGACAAAGGGAAATAGTCTGCCGCGGCCACTACAAATAGAGAGATTTTTCTCCCTCCATAACTTTTGAGGAAGTTGGATGAATCTTCCCAAACGCCGATAAAATTGCATATTCATCGCTAATGCTAGGCCACGTCGAAAGAGTTTTGTCGTGTTTAACATTGCTGCAGAAGATATCTTTGACTCTTTCGAAATGGAATGCTGTACGAAATGGAATGTGTGTTTTTCAACTCAATATGTCAGGTATGGAACGTGACAGGAATAGCAAACACCCTGCTTGAGTGACATTTTACTTCGTCCTAGGTTAGAAGAAAATGTTCAGGAACACTTCATATCAACACGTTTTGCCAGGTTTAATTTATCAGAGGAAACATAGATGAAGAAACACAGCAGAGCTGCTATGACCTACATGTATAAGGTGTCTGTTTTTTCTGGATTTTTTATGAAGACTTGTTTAATTGGTCGTTTCCTTACGGTGAAGGGTCGAAAGGCCCTGCCTCATATGTTCAACCATGATTACTGCCTTTCGTCACTTTCTGTTCTATTTTATATTATCTTAACGTCAATGGACAACAAAAATTTCCTTTCGTACTTTTAATTATTGGACATGCTGACTGCCAATGATGTTGGGAAATGTGCTATAGTGCAGTGTCCGGTCTAAAGCAGCCTTAAGTGGAGAAAAGTGTTAAAACGATTTCATGCATGGTGCAGGTTATCGCTTTAAAGCAGGCACACCTGCAAGATGCACCAATGAAGTGATAGTACAAATTTAAAAAAATAATTTTCAAATAGATGTTTATTTTTACTTTTTTGGTTCCCTTTGCATTATACATGTATTACCAGTTCTTCGTTTAAAATAATCATTTAAAGCAATCTTATTGTCATACCTTAGCCATTAAACCCTTTTTAAAGAAACGTTCCCTTGACTACGAATAGGGTTTTCATTCTTTACAATTCATGCACTACAAACTCCTATTGAGATGTCTCATATCAACTCGTTTTGCAACGCGGGGCATAGATCATGGACCTTTTGCTTGAAGCGTTGTACAGCTGGAATGTATAACAGATGTAGTTTTGTGTTGTAGCATGTAATCTTTCTATTTTCTATTTATCTTTATCCCTGAAAATCCATGATATGAAGTAATAGCTATCAGAAGGATACAAGCGATGTGGCATATGTTTTCAAACTGCGTTAAGCCTCGGTCACAACCTTCCGTACGGGCTCTCACGGGCTGTTTGCATCCAAATTATACGCAGAATATCACGTCCCACGCAGGTCCTTCCTACGAAATTTCGAGTTCGCTGACAGCCCGTCTCTCACGGAGTTAGGCTTAGGTCCCAACCGAACGTACGGGCTGCTACGTGTGGTCTATGGCCGAAAAAAATGGAGAAAACGTGGGAGTTCGTGCGTGAGGGGCACGTCCATCGTGCAACTTTTGGAGGACGTATGTTTTCAAACTGTCATGTTTTTAGTCTTTTTCTTTCAATATGTTGTTTGTCTGTCCAGTGAGCACATAGAGAAAAGTGCAAATAAAGTTATTGGTCTAAAACAAAAATTCATTCGAGATAAATGTTTTAATCTGAGCCCCTGGTCTTTAAAAAAACGTACCCCTATTATGCAATAGACTTTCTGTTAATGACCGTCAGTGGAAAAAAATTCTAAAATGGGCATTATTTTGATTTCTTTATTTCCGGCGCATTTTGCGTGATATAACAGAAGAATATGAGAAGCCCCCGGACAAATCTGTCACTAAGCGTAATTTTTTTCTAAAACCCTACTGCTTCACCCCCTAGACCCACTTAACAATTGTTCACCAGAACAACAAATAGTGTGTTTTTTATACTTATCAGTTTACTTACAAGCATATCATATAAACGCGTATAATAACTATTGCTTGCAAGGTGTTCACGGTTGATCAAGGAGACAATCCATGCAAAACAAACTCCAGTATACTCATAATAAATGGCAACCGATTAAAAAGTTTTAAAATGAGTGTTTTTTCATCACCATTTCCCATTGTGCAACTATCTACTAGGAAAGCAAAATAAGATGAATCCCTCGTTATTTTATTTTTTTTATTTTTTATTTATTTATTTATTTATTTTATTTTTTTTTTTTTGCTTCGTCGCAATGTAATTTTTTTTTTAATTTTGGCTCTTCTCTGGATCACTGTGTTATATGGAAATACCTGTATCCCATTTTTTAGATATTTGAGTGTTTATAATATTATTGATGATTGACATTTTGTCTCACTGTTTACCAGCCGCGCCATTAACCGCCTTACATTATCATTTTATTTTCATTAATCAAATACAAGTTAAGTGAATTATATTTGAAAATGTTGCATTCAATCAACAAGGGGACCGTGGAATTCATTATAAATATTCTTTTCATCTTCGCTAAGCCAAAATTCAATTTGAGCCTGCGTGAACTCTTCCTTGGAGATGAGGCCATCTTTGTTTGTGTCCATGATGTCAAACATAGGTTTTGAGTACTCTGTGGGGATATTAAGTCCGTAGAAATAAGCGGCGTGCTCTCTGGGCGAAATATATCCGTCGCCATCGGCGTCTATGGCAATGAATTCAATGACAAGGAAATCAGCTAAATTTGCTCGATTTTTGCTGTCATTAAACATGAGCATATGATTCTGAAGAAATTCTGCCTCCGAAATTTTAGCATTGTCGTCATATGAACCTCTGTTTATGATATTTCTCCAAATATCGAGTCGAAGATTCACATAATACTCCGTTTGTTCATCTGGAAATATATATAGATACACTCAAGGAAACGAGACAGCAACCTTAAACAACTCTGTTTACCAAAATTTTGTCCGTTATAAGTTTGAGGAAATATCATGGTTTCGGGATGGCACGTGTGAGGACGTGTGTATGTTGAAATGTGCCTCTGTGTGTGTGTGTGTGTGTGTGTGTGTGTGTGTGAAAGAGAAATGTATCTATTTAATTTTATCTAATCGATGCCTACCATTTAGATCCAAGTAGTGGGCAGCACGCTTGGCAGTGATCTCCAAGGCCTCTTTAGTGATGTATCCCTGACCCGTGGCATCTACGGCCTTGAAAATCGTGTGAATTTTCCTTTTCCAATGATCTGAACCAGTCAACAATGGGTAGTCCGTTGGCATCTAAAGTAAATTACTTTCAACATTTTATTTACTTGAAAGATTAATATAATGCAGTGATGCATGAAATATATACCTGTACATGTAGATGTGCATTGTGTCCCTTTGATGGAAATGAAATAATACGCATGAAAAGCACACAGTATGGCCTTTATAAAATAGTTTTCCTCGTAATGTCTGCAATTTTCCTTAATACTAATATTATGAAAAAAATAATTATTATAAATAAACCTTTAAGATTGCATGTATGTATGTGTTTTAAAGAAAAGGAAATATGTCACCGAACTCATTAAAAATCAGACGGGTACAATTAGGTCACACACCTAAGCAGTGAACGCCGCGGGGTCATGCTTTAAATACCAGACTATGGCGTTCGGTAGTTCAGAACACTAGTGTCCTGAGTGGTTGTAATTTTCTTTAGGAAGTCATTTGAGTTTTTCACTTCACACCATTGTCTTAATGAATAACCAGACAGAGACAATTCGAAGGTTCGTAATGGGCAGTTATCACATATGTAATATAGAGCGATAAAGCTTTTGACGATCCATTTTATCCGCCTTTAATGAGTGTTTAGAGTTTGTAAAGAAGCATGACATACATGCACTTTCACTGAAGAAATGTGGCATTCAAACTATCCAACAAAGGAACTGTATCGTATAACTGACTCATAACTAACCTTTTTCAAACGCAGTGATTGCTCCGTTAGGCCTCGGCTTAACTGGACATATGAGATTATTCTTCCACGCTCATTACATATATACAGATGCATCTTCTTCACAAAGTCTTGGGAAGGTTGGGTGAATCTGCCCAATCGCCTGTTTGATTGAATTATCATCGCTAATACCATGCCACGTGGAAAGAGTTTGGGCGTATTCATCATGGTTGCATACATGTGAGACATCTCTGGTTCTCACGAAATTTAATGGCGAAACAATCTGTTCTCCAATTTAATATATCACGTATGGAACGTTACCAGAATATCAAACACTATATAATGTTCTGAGGCTGGAGAAACCATCTTTGAGCCCTGTTATTAACCTTACTTAACATCTGTGGCAAGAATTGAAGTGTGCAATGCAAAGGAGAACCAAACCCCTAATAATCAGGACCAACCAAGCTCTTTAGGAAGAATGGGACAATATCTTACAAAAAAAGAATTGTTACCTTTGTTGAAGGCAGGCCGCGTCATCTACAGGAAGTAATTACAGTACGCGGTAAACACAAACGCTATTAGACAAGGAGCCTTTAAAGAGCACACCATAATGCTAAATATGTATAAATTTGGTGACATCTGGTGGTGTCATTTCAATTTAATGGACATTTCTTTACCTCCGTGGATACGACGGTGGAACATCAGATTTGAGGGGGTACATTAAATAAATGTAAATAAATGGAATTAAATATAGATATCTTAACAGATAGTTTGTATTCTCTGTACCACTATCATGTTAGTTATATGCATATATATATATATATGGTACCTGGAATGAAAATCATCATTCATAGCAATTAACTCCTGTGATGTTATCATTTATAAATAAAAGCACATGAAACTGGGGGTGGGACAACCAATGTTTGACCAATGTTGTAAGCTTGAGGAAATATAATATGGTTTCAGGTCGTGTGTGTATACACACACGTGTGTGTGTGTGTGTGTGTGTGTGTGTGTGTGTGTGTGTGCAAAAGAGAGATGGAGGGGGAGGAGGAAGAGATTTAAAAAATGGGCCCATTAAAAAACAACATGACTTGAAGTAAACTATTACATATCAATATTATTTAAAATAATATTAACGATAAGAATAACAAATTCCAAAAGCGTCCACAAGAATCATCCTAAGTTAAATGACATCCGATGTTTTAATTTTCACTTTGTTTTACACTGAGATTACGTTTGACTTCACCTGTGAAGTTACAGATCACGATGAGAGCCAAAGCAGTTCGCACCATTAAATAAATGTAAATAAATGGAATTAGATATAGATATCTTAACAGATAGTTTGTATTCTCTGTACCACTATCATGTTAGTTATATGCATATATATATATATATGGTACCTGGAATGAAAATCATCATTCATAGCAATTAACTCCTGTGATGTTATCATTTATAAATAAAAGCACATGAAACTGGGGGTGGGACAACCAATGTTTGACCAATGTTGTAAGCTTGAGGAAATATAATATGGTTTCAGGTCGTTTGTGTATACACACACGTGTGTGTGTGTGTGTGTGTGTGTGTGTGTGTGTGTGTGTGCAAAAGAGAGATGGAGGGGGAGGAGAAAGAGATTTAAAAAATGGGCTCATCAAAAAAAACATGACTTGAAGTAAACTATTAGATATCAATATTATATAAAAGGATATTAACGATAAGAATAACAAATTCCAAATGCGTCCACAAGAATCATCCTAAGTTAAATGACATCCGATGTTTTAATTTTCACTTTGTTTTACACTGAGATTACGTTTGACTTCACCTGTGAAGTTACAGATCACGATGAGAGCCAAAGCAGTTCGCACCTTGCGGTTTTAGTTTTTTTTTTTTTTTTATTTCAAATGTCGACTGTTGCCTAAGATACTGTATGACTTTATGAACAGTCTGGATTAGCAAGAAAATACACAATTGGGTAAAGCAATCGTGACGTAACTTTTGAAAAAAAAAATAAACTTTTCTTTTAGTTTTTAGAAGTTTTTGCAATTTCAAATGTCGAATGTTGAGCTGCCCCGGGTACTATACGACCATTTGAACAGTCTTGACAAGCAAGGCCCCAGAGAGGGGGGGGGGGATAGAGCAAAACATGCATGATTGGGTAAAGCGATAGCACCGACGTGACTTTAACAAACATTTCATGCTAATTAAAATCCGTCGGAGAAGATTGCACTTTTTGATGAGAGGCCAGTATGACATGCATGGCGCCATGCCGTTAGCTATTGACTCAATTCAAATTTGATCTGTTGCGTAGTTGGTAAACGATAGAGATCAATGACAATCCCGCATAAACATCATTTTAAGGGCTTTTAAGTGAAAAGATGCAGACTTAATAATAATGGCCAGAAATAAGTTTTTTTGGCAAATCGATCACTTATTTATAAATTTACATTTTTAATGCAAAAGGTAATTTGCCTGGACCCACGAAAGCCTGCATTCTTTTACAGGCCTACCCTACTGCCAGATTCGGCACCGAATTATCCTGAAGTCACCGGTAGATCGGATCACAATACCCGTTTTCGAGGTGTGCATCAGTTCGCGCTTCGAGGTATCAGACGCAACACCGCTCTTGTCTAGTACGCAATGTGATAGTGATGATTCTCATCGGGGTTGGAAAGTCGTGCATCTCATCTCAAAATTTGCTCCGGGTTATAATACTGTGAAATGCGTATTGACGCACACCTTGAAAACGGTTAGTGTGGTCCGATCTACCGATGAATTTGGGATCATTCGGTGCCGAGTCTGGTAGTTGGGTTAGCCTGTTTTACGAGCATTCTCGAATCCGGTGCCAGCTGATTTCTGTGGAAACTGACATGCGTTATCCGGGATTTGTATTCGGGACTTTCATTTACCATGCTTGCTAATGGCTATGAACTTGTTTGCAACCGTGCACGGTACCGACTGCACCCTGACTGAACCGCCCACCTTTCGTCGTACGTGTGTCCTCAAGCAGTCACAAGCAAATTTTATAAATTGTTTCAAGCAACAAAAAAAAAAGAAATTAGTTTGAGCATTCTAGAATTCGAACCTGGGTTTCAGTGTCTGAAGTCCTCAATCGAAGCATCCGGACTCAGTGGTAACTTCGCTGACTTAGACACAATTATACCTTTAAACCCTGCTTCGAATTCTAGAATGCACGTTGTATTTTTTGTTAAAAACAATTTCTAAAAATTGCTTGTGACTACTACAAGAGGACACACTTTGGTACGGAGGGTTTACGGTCCAGTCTTGGATCCGAGCAAATTACCTTTGCATAAACTGTTTACAGGTGAAAATATACTTTTTTAAATTATCCAAAGTATATGTACACACGAAAAATAAATCCATGTTTTAAATGTGGGAATTCATGAACGGTGCATGTGCTTGCCCAATGTCTCACTCCTCTACAAGATGGCACCAATGAGCTAGCTGCCAGTTGAAGTTTCAAAATTGATGTTCTTTCTTCTTTTTTCCCCGCTTGTGCGTTGTTTCATGGAAGATGTAATGAGCCTTGACCAAAATACAAGTTACCCATGGGAGGTAATGCTTTGTTACATTGCCACCGGAAAGTAACCTTACTTACTCTGCGGGTCCCTGTGGGATGTTCTTTATTCTTTATTCCTGCTTCTGCGTTGTTTCATGGAAGATGTAATGAGCCTTCACCAAAATACAAGTCACCCATGTGACATAATGCTTTGTTACATGTAACCCCCGGTGCTTCACTGCCAAATGCTTTAAGAAGCTGTTCACCCTACAACGACTGGTGTGGTCTTTCTCAATACTGCGTACATTGTAAACATAGTCTTATTAAGGTGTCTCGTTTCAGCTGGCTTCGTGAATTTTGGATTATCTTTCGGGACATAGCCCACAAGCCTTTATCCTAAAAAGTCTCATTTAACATGTTGTTTATCAATCTAGTCAGTACATAAAGACATACTAACTAAAGGCCCAATATGGACTTCGATTAAAATATGGAACTGCCCTAACTCTGAAATTAAAAACTGAGAAGACTTGGATACTTTTCAAAGATTGTTTTTAAAAAAACAAAATTAAATATTATGTATACAATTATTAAGTCATGAAGCTTTAAGATTCGTACTAACATAATGTCGTCTGTTTTATTCTTATTACTCTTGTTATTCAACTCATTTCATTTTATTCATCTTTTCTTCATTAACACAATATTTAATTTTAACCCCCCAGAGGGCCATGTGTAAGATAAGTGTCTGCACTTCATATGTTTAACCCTCTTTAAATAAAGTTTATTATTATTATTTTTTAAATAAATATATATATATATATATATATAGAGAGAGAG